CCTAACACAATTATAATCACAGTTGACAAAATCATATATTTGTTCATTATAGTTTAAGTACTTTAATGATGAAATAGGTAATTCAATTGTTAGGGCTCGGTGGTACATTGAATCTAATGGTAGTAACATGTGATCTTCATAAACTACGTTAATATCAAACACGTTAGAAAGAACAAAATCAAGCCATGACTCAGAGCGATTATATATTAAATAAACTGCATTAAATTTAAATAAGACAAATGAGCTAATACATTAGATTCAATAGAACTAGCACGAGCACCTACAGGTGACATTTGAACCATTAACAGGTTGCCAATTAATATTTGGTAGATTATAATCACCAAAAATTAAAAATTCTGAACTATAATTTGTATTTAACAAAACATCGACAGTATTAAATTGTATATCATAAACATTAATATCAGAAGCAGGCGGAATATAAACAGCACCAATAACTAAAGAGGGACATTTATCGCTAATTCGGATAAATAACTGCTCAACTGAGTTATCGCAGATAGAAAGACGATGGCATAAGAACCGGTTCTTAACTGCAATCAGAACTCCATCATCTCTTGTAATAACATCACGAGTACTGCAACAGTCAAACCAAAAATAGTATATAGGGGACAAAGACAAAGTTGCGCGTCAATTACATTGTTAGATAACCAGGTTTCCGTAAGTACAATAATATCATAATTGCAACAAGAAACATTACGAGTAAACAAATCAAGTTAAGTATTAATACCTCGAATGTTCTGATAGTAGATGGAAAGTTGACATATAAATTTTGAGCTTGTTGATCGTTTTTTTGAAATGGTCGGACAGTTATTAACATACTTAATAAAAAGATCAGTTTCACCAGCATCTCTCCAAAATTTTAGTTCCGAGACAACAGAAGAATACAACTTGCGTTGTTGTAACGTTTGGTCTGATGAAACTCGAACAGTTTTAAATTTATCAACATTAAATAGCTGCAGTTTGACTTTTAAAATTTGAAAAACATCAGGTGGTGAAGGCATAACAATACGGATAGGACGCGGCTTACTTGAAGGCTTACCTAGTCGGTGAATTGATAGAGGTTGGGTAGAAATGCCGATAATATTCAACATTTCGTCAATAAAAGTAGTATCGTTTTGTTGGACAGCATTAGATGTTGAAAGATCTGGTACATTAAATAATATAATGTTACGAGCTCTGGATTATCGGTCCATAAATTCAGAGAACAAATTTTCTTGACTATTAGAGTGAGTATTGGATTGAAATTGCTCGATTGACAACAGTTTAGACTCAAGTTGCTTAATTCGCGACTTTAGTGACTTATTTTCCTTAATTACCGAAATAATTTAATTGGATAATAGGTCAAATTTGTAGTCAAAAGAAGCCAACGTTTTATCTTGTGATTTAATAGATTCACGACATGAATTAATCGACGATATGATTTTATTTTGAGAGTTTTTAAATTCATTAATCATATCAATTAGTTTGCTAAATTTATCATCATTAGAAACAAGCGGTGAAATAGGCAGCATAATGAACGTTAAAAGTTATCGGGAGTTTAAATTAGGTATATAAGAACGATAAGACATCCGATAACGAAGACGCACAACACAACCTAGTAGTACCACGGGTTACAGAAGACTTATTAATTATTAAAATATAACAAAGACATAACTGGAGTAGCAATTTCCAATCATCAAATGTCCCTATTTTCAATGTTAAGTAATTTAACAAGACAGCAAGCTTAGAAAATTAAAAAAAAAAATTATTTCATTGTTTCCTGATTTAAAACCGGTTATTTTTTTTATTCTTAAATGTCTTGTCTAATATCTTTGAAAAGTGAGTGATCTTAGTTTTCAGCATGCTTGTGGTCATGTCAACTCAAAATAAACTTTCTAGTTGCATACAAGGTTCCTGCGTGGACCGGAGAGATAGTAGATATTATTACTTTGACCGTTAAGGAAGTACCAGTTTATTTCACGCTCAAGGAGTTTCCGTTTCAATGGAAAGCCTTAAGGGCCACGGTAATCGCATTTCCTAACCCACTCCTCTTTTATCACCTAGAAATAAACGATCCTTGACTATACGAATTTCATCAATTAACTTAAAAAAAAAAACAACTTAAACAAAAACTCAAAGATGGAAGAAAAAAAAATATTTTAATAAAAATACTTTGCAATGTCTTGCGAAATAAGTTAGTAAATATTACATTTACTAATTGATTAATCAATCATAATGTTTGTATTTTTCCTCTCATAAAATGCACCTAGTAAAATTCTGTGATTGACTATAAAAGGTTGTGCAAAGACACGTTTGAACTTTGACCGATCGATAAACTTTCATGCGGTCGTGCCTGTTGTTTCAGCAACCCCTCGTGCAAACGTCTCCAGGGCCCAGCTGTGTCTTCTCTTGGGGTGAAATAAAGAATGAAGGGTAAATCCTAATAGAAACGAGAAAAAGAATCGAAAGATTGAGAAAAAGAAAAAGAGAGAGAAAGAGAGAGAGAGAGAAACTACAAAATAAAAATAGAGGAAAAAAATACAGTTTTCCACGCGACTGGTCTCCGATCAAAACGATACCGTTAACTAAACGAAACAGTTTCTCTTTCTTAAAAAAAAAAAAAATAAATAAATAAATAAATAAGTTGTGTTTTTACGGCTTGAGAGAATAAGAGTCCTTACGGGCTATAAAAAATAGTTAAAATGATTTTCCGATAAAGAGAACAATCGAGTTTCTAGTCATTTTTGTAATAACAAAAAAATGTAATGGATTCAAAACACGTTGGCCAACTTGAGTTTGAATGTTTCAACTAAAGATCATTTTTATGTCCTATTCAAATTGATTCAAAACAATTTTATTTTCTTTACTCTATTGTACTGTGACCAATTTTAACATACTCTTTACAATAGTTTTTCGTTATTTACAGTAGAATCTCGATCAATCGTCACTGATGGGATCAGAACTACGATGGTTAATCGAATAGGCGGTTAACATTAATTTTCCAATAAACGTATATATTTTACAACATAGTATTTTCAGAAAAAAAATAATACACAAATGTAATATATCATACTAAACACTAATTAACTAAAACTAACAATTTTAAACAAAATAATCTGTTATTTTCTTTTGTTTTTTTGATACTTGGGCTATTTTAGCTGTATTATTTTGTATATTACGTAGACGTATAACCGGGCTACTCATCATTCACTGATTAAAATAAATTAAAAATAATTCAATTTGTTCGTTCACGTCACATTTATAGCATATGTTGGATATTAAAAAAAACAATTATATACGTTTGATAATCGCCCCAACAAGTTTATTGCAATTGCCTCATTAACGACAACAATGACGGATAACAGAGAATGACGGTTGATCAAGTTTCTACTGTATTACATTTAATAATCTCCTATTGTAAATATTAAAATTAAAATATATCAAGGAACAATCGTTTTGTTTTAATTATTTTTAATATATAATTAAAATAACTTTGAAAACATTTAGATAAAGTTTTCAATCGGTGTCTAATAAATTTAATAAGCTTAATTTTTCTTTTTAATAAGAAACGGCAATGGCAGTGCATAAAAGTTAAACTTTTTACTTTAAACAATTAGTAGCAATAGTAGATTCTAAAATAATATCACTAATTCATCTGTCAATAACATAATAAAAATTAATTCCAAAACTTTTTTTCTTTCTTAATAAAATACACCCAGTCTAGAAGAAGACTTTTAAATTTGCTGCATTCAATTTTTCAATTTAGGTAATTATTATAATTTGAAATATTCTATAATATTTGAGAAGAAATGAATAAAATAACGAAAATGATAAAACTTAAGTATTACGATAAGTTTAATATATACGCCTGAATTTTTTTTTTTTTTTTTTGCTTTTTGGGCCATTATGGTTTTTTGCAGTTTCTATTAATCGCGTCTGAAAAATAATTGAATTTATATATTATTTATACAGTGGTATTAATCTGTAATGTACAAATAGTCGTATAAATAACATTGTCTGGATCACGTTTTTTTTTCTTCACAATATTATAGTATCTCCACGTATTCGTTTGCGTATTTGTTTTGCCTATACAAACCGCCGTCTATCAATAAAACTTGGGAATCATTGATCGCTCTTATGCTCTACGGCTCCATATCTACTTTCATAACCTCCCCATGGCTTTTGAACATTAGCAAAATGAAAGGTATGATAGGCAGAGCAAAATTGAATCTCGTTATTTATAATGTAATGTCTTTGTAGCGGACATCCTTCTGACACAAATGATGTAGCTAGTCTCTCCCGCCGAGTGTTTCCGGCCTTAAAAACATTTTATACGTATATCTTTTTAACCACCGAACGTTAAAAGCTACTTTTAATTACCAAGATCCTTTCTCTTCATTAAGGATGAAATATAATATTAATTAACGAGAACGTTAATGATAAATATTAAAAATGTGTTTTTTCCTTTTTATATTTTTGTTCATAAACAACTGTTATACTTGTTCGCTGTTTGAATTTAACTCCATTAAAATGTTATTTTATATATATATTTTTTTTTAATTTTAAATAAAACACTTGTTTCTCATCATGGATATAGTATAATTTACAAACTCAAAATATTAAAGTAGTGGTATACACATGTATAAATAAATAAATATTTTAAGTTATTACTAACACTATTACTAAAAAATTAGATAAAATACATTATACATCACAAATTCAAGTTATATGTTTTATGTTAAATTTAAAAATAATATTAATCAATCTAAAAATTTAAAAATCAATTCTGATTGTATCTATAATAATAGTTTCTTTAACGATGCTTTACAATTATTTGTTATTACATTTTAAAGCTAATATATATGATTATTTTATTATTTTTCATCATATTCCACAAAACACTCATATTTCACTCAACAACCAATAAATGTTATATTTTTTTCTTATTATTATCTTTCTACATGATTTATGAACAAATGATAAAATGAATACTTGTGACTTACTTGTGTCAGCTGGTCGAACTATGATGACTATAAGAAAACAGCAGAACCAATAAAATAATGACTTGCAGGAAAGTGCAAATGGAATCATAGCGAACCGTTTGTCCATCACCTGAGTACCATTTCACGTTTCCTTAGTTTGAATTTTAAATCGAGTAGAGCTTTATATCAAATAAACAAATGTCAATTGATCTTTTTTAAATTTTTGAACCATATCTGTAAAACATAACACAAAATAATCAATTACCGACGAATATACAAATAGTAGATTAACAATTAAATTAATATTGGCCATATTAAATTATTAACTAAAACTAATTTTTCAATGATAATATTCTATAATTTTTTCTTAATATTATTACCGTAAAATATAAAAAATCGCTTTAAGCAAAAATTATATAAACAAATCATTTTTTACATTTTCTATCATCATTTTCTACATTTGAATGATAATGTTACGAATATTGACATATAATACAAAATTCGAATTACTTACAAGTAAAATAAGTATAATAATAATAGGTACAATAGAGACATACCCTAGGTATATTATAAAATACTAGTTTAACACCGTATTATTTGTTTCATTGAATTTTATTTTATTTTTCAAACAATAGACTAAATTTAAAAATATTTTCTTAACACCTGTTGAAGGATTTGGTAGCTTATTCGACTATAACTTAGCTACGGTTTTTTATTTAAACGCTTACTTGATAAAGGCATTCAGTAATTTTTGCTAATGAACGCGAGTGTTTTGTTATAAACGAAAGTTTATTGAGAATCAACTTGGTTTTAATTGCATGAAATATAACTTTGAGACCTTTGTTATTAAAACGGTAAACTCCCTCTCTATCATTCGCATGCACGCCCTGATCATAAAGCATTTGAAAGTTTCGCTGCTGTATGAAATGCACGTGCGACAAAATATTTCTGCGTAAAACGGTATTGTTTCCGTAAAATTCATTTTTGCAAACCTACATTGTTACTTCTACCAATTATACATTATCTTGACGTCTTATAAAAATTTTAATATTTTCTTGTGGTAAGCCGTTTTTTGTCGTATTATTTTGTTCCAGGTCACTTTATTCTATATAAACTAAAATCAAAATAAACCAAAAACAATCAACTATTTTTATTTCAAAATTATCAAAAATATTAATGATATTCACTGTAATTAATAAAATCGTCAACAACTTTCCCATTGTTATTTTAAAATTTGTTTAGCACACGATTCTATTTTTTTTTAACTCGAAAAATATATTAATAAAAGACTCTCTCTTTTGATTCAAACAGTTAAAATGAATGTGTGTTTACTGATAGCCACAAGAGGGACAATAATAGTAAGTGTTAATTAATTGAAAGTAAATTTATGAGGTAATCAAGTATTATAACTACACACCGATGATTTTTAATTGTTAATTAAATAGAGTGATAATTAAATTTAAAAATTTTTACTAGTGTAACAATTTATGTATTAATTTTATTAAGTTACTTAGTATAGTAATAATTTATTTACACTGAACAATGTTATTATTACTATATTTTAAATAATATACATAAGTTAATAATTATTGTATACTTAAATGATTTATTACCTGATAAAAATTTAAAAAAAAAAAATATTTACTTTAAAAATATTAATTTAAATTTTAAAAGTTAAATGGTCCAATTCAAATTTTAAATGACATCAGGATTTTTAGTTATACAGTAGTAATGTCCTATTAATGAAGAATGTAAGAATGTCATCAACTATAAGATGAAACCTGTTGATAAATATTATTATAATATTATGAAATTTTATATTACATTATAAATAAATAACAGGTATAATAATTTTATTAATATAATAATTAATAATACAATTTTATGTAAATTAAAATCACACAATCAATTATTACCCAACTAACAGTTAAACATATTTTAACCGAATGCCATCAATTTCAAACACTAAGAAGTGAAAACAACATACCAGACCAACTATACCAAATCCTAGGACCACAAATAGAAGCAAAAATAACATGATAAATTTCCTCAAACAATCAGACTTATATAAATTAATTTACTATAATTTTAATTTTAGTTTTAGAAATAAGAATACCCATTGTAAAAATATAACGAAAAAACGTTGTACTACCATAATTATAAGCTAATTACCATTGAATATAGTTGAAACAAAGGATCAATAAAAAAAAAAAACAATTATTATTATTTACTTACTGGTGTTACAAATGTTACGTAAAATGTACAAGTAAATATAAATAAAAAACTTTTTCTGGTAAATTTCACTTATCTCTATAGCTTAACGTTACAATTTAAGTTATACGAACACACAGTAAAATAAACAACTAGTTAGGAAAATTTAGCCAAGTCTAGTTTTAGCAAACGTTTATTGATAATAAGCAAACTGTAATAAGTATTAACAATCTCATATTATAGCAGTTTTCTCACATAGATATGAGTATTAAGCGACATAAAGAAAAATTTGAATAATTGTAAACTTATATAATAATTATATTATAATTTATTTTTATTATTATTTATTATATAATTTCTAAACAATAATTGTTTAGAATCTTGAGTCTTATTGACATTATAGATACTACGTGAAAGAAAGTGTATTAAATACGAGTAGTATATTCAAGTGAAGTTTATTCAAAATATTATAAATCTAAATATATTATACAGTCGACATTTCAGCAAGACTACTTCAACAATCCCGCAATATCTCATGGGGAAACTTTTACAATTAATCGGCTCGCAATCAGCAGCAAACTTGTACATAATTTTAATCAGAGTGGATGCGTTACGCTACGACATGATGGTCACTATAATTTCTTTTTTCTTTTTATGATGTTCTAAAAATTACCGATTCAGTGATTCTCACGGAAAATCACTTATTTTATGCTTGACATCGTTGCAGTAACAGAAACTCACAAAATTAGCGTCATGTGAAAAAGTGTGAAAACGATGCAAATTCTCTTCCCCAAAAAGATTAATTTTCACCACATCACCATCAAGTCAATATAAAAAAGATTGTTTATCTTATGAGTTCAACGTCACTAACAAAAACTCATTTTATTTACCCAGATATTTTCCTGGTTCGCATATAATTATCAGCAATATTATACGCGGAACTCATACGCATAATATACGTCTCTCACCAAACGGTACTTTTTTAATAAACTACGGTCAATTTATTAGGACTGACTTTCATTATAATCGCTGTTATTTTTTTTTTTTTTTAATAATAATATACGCAATATTAGGTTTATTGTACATCTTACTGCTCTTTCGTACCATGCACAAATACCAAATCGATGGAGATCAGACATATGAAAAATAAAAATTAATTCATTGTGTTTTATTTATATAACGTTACTCAGTTGTTGAAGGAAGAGAAGGAAATAAAGTAAATATGATCTGGACTTGAAGTATTCGTCAAATGAAATAACTTGCTTCGATATTGATATAATCGTTCACTATACAAAATTAGTAAGAGTTGTGTAACAAAATGAAAATTTTAATAAACATAAATAAGTGGGAATACGTCCAGAAGATATTTGTATTAATTATAATCATTCATCAAATAAATTGCAAAATCAAGTGATTATATTAATAGGTAAAGAAAAAATAATTGTTAATGGAATTATCGTTATTTCTACATAATTTGCTTTGCGCCTGCCCACATTTAGATATTTTTATTTACATTCTTTTTGTTTTTCCGTTAATAATTAAAAATAAAAGTAAACCAATATCATATAAGAATTGACTATCTGATTATTAATGCGTTTTAGAATATATGCACAACATTAAAATGTATAAATTTAAAATATTTAATTGTCTAGACTTACATTGTAATTCTTCAATTATTCAAATAACAACATCATTGGTACTATTAATATAATACTATTTTTATTTTATAACAGTAATAGTTTATAAAAAATATATAATATTAGTATATAGTTTATTAATTAGAATATTAACTACGATTTAATTTATTAAGAATCAAACTTTGCACATAGAATGATTGTAGTATAAAGAAAAATTGTGACTTCCTATAAAATGTTTTTCACCGATACCTCTAACATACGCACAATAATATTACGTATATGTACATTTACAATATTATAGTCGTATTCACTGTTTTATTATATTTCCTTAATTTCCGGATCGGCAAGAGGACAAACAAGAAAAAAACGACTTCGTGAGTGAAGGAAATTATTAAACGAAAAGCGTTACATGAGAACAATAAAATGTCATCTTTTATTCTCGTGTCTTTTAATATATATTAAGTTAATAATAATGGATAGAGTTAAAAAACAAGTGAAATCAAATATTAGAGACCCCATTTTTCTTTTCATTGCACAATATATGGAATGGAGTTACTCTGTGTCTGGTATATGTATTGCAATTTAACCTAACATGCTGGATATGCGCAGTAGTGGTTATTATATCAAAGCATTATAGTTGTTCTGCATGTGAATACGATAAAGGGTAAGTGTTAAAACGTATCATTTCAGATTCTTAAACATAATAGTCCTTTTGGACAAATTTTAAAATTCAATATAATTATTATTTTAAGTAATTAAAATATAATATGATGCCCGACGCGCTCGTCAATTGAGAGCAAACCATCAACAATTTAATTTTATAATTTATTTTTTTGAAATGTTTATTTTCATGTTTATATTCATATTTTCATGTAAATCTTTACAAGATTTATTTTCTTATTTATATTCATCCACGGGACTTCAATTCCTGTTTTCACTTTTGTTAATGTCTGAAAATGTTCTAATTCGATTTCTTTTTTATTTTCATCTAATAAATAATTTTTATGAACCACGTGAATACTTCTTTCACACCATAGCCGTACAATTTAATCTCCACCAAGTCATTGATGGTCTGTTTCTATTTTTTTTGTTGCTTTTATTTTATGATTACTGATTGTTAAAATTAATATACCAATCCTGAACTATGTTTATTTTATGGACTGGTTTAAATCTGCCACCGATATGGAAGCTAATGCTGTAACGGAAGGATTCGAAAGAATTCTGTAAACACATGGATTATTTTTATCACTCAACTGTTATTTTATTTTTAAGAGATAGAGAATCAAGTGTAACAAAATTAGGCTAAAAAAATTTAATTAAATAAATATGACATAAATAAAAACAAAATATTTAGGTTTTTTTTTCCAGAAAAGTTATTCTTTATAA